GACTATTCTCTCAAAAAATTGAAATTTTGGTTTGTGAATTCATCTTGAGTGGGTTTTTTTAATTACTAAAAATGTAAAGTTTCTCTTAACAAGCATCTATTTTCTTGTTAGCATCATCCTATGAACTGAGAGGTCCAGGTTCGATTCCTGGTCAGGGCACATGCCCGGGTTGTGGGCTCCATCCCTGGTGTAGGGAGTGCAGGAGGCAGCCGATGGATGTTTCTCTCTCACATCAATGTTTCTAACTCTCTCTCCCTCCTCTCTCTCTCTAAAAAAAAAAAAGAAAAACAAACAAAAACCAAAAACCAATAAAATATATTTTAAAAGTGCTGCTGTAAGAGTCTCCAGTAAATGGATGAGTCAGGCCCCACCATGACTCATGGTGGTCAGTTTGAAATGGGAATTCACACTGCAATACACTACAGTTTAATTGGCTTGACAGCCCATGCTGTCCTGAGTCTCATCTGTTACCACGAGGTTACCACCCTTGCCCCAGTTGGTGTCCCTTCACTAGAACTTTAAAGGACAGGAAGTGGGGTGGGGTTTATATTTGCCTCTCTAAAGTGCCCAAGGCCACCCTGGCTGGTTTGGCTCAACGGTTAAAGCATTGGCCCGCAGACCAGAAAGGCCCGGGTTCGGTTCCTGCTAAGGGCACATACCTCCGTTGCAGTTTGTCCTCTGGGGTCCTGTGGGTGGAAACCAGTTGATGTTTCTCTCTCTCTTCCTCCCTCTCTCCCTCCCACTCTATCTCAAGATAGTAAAAATGTCCTCAGGTGAGGATAAAAAAAAAAAAAGTGCCCAAGGTATCTCCCAGCCTAAAATGCTTGTTATGTTAATTTCTTGGCTCTGGGATCCCTGGATTAAGCAGGCAATTTAAATTTGAAAGACAAACTCTTGAGAAGTACAAAGCCAAATTTAGAATTCTTCCAAAACCTTGGCTGGGTTTGACAAGGTTTTTTGTTTCATCCCTCTGACACAGAGTGGATTTTTTAAAATTGGTTTTTAGAGAGAGGTAGGGAAAGAGAAACATTGATGTGAGAGAGAAACATTGATCAGTCGCCTTTCTGCACGCACCCCCAACCCGACTGGGAGTCGAACCCACAACCTGGGTATGTGCCCAGACCGAGAATTAAACCCGCCTCCTTTTGGTGCACAGGATGACACTCCAACCAACTGGGCCACACCGGCCAGGACTGGATTGTTTTTTTCTAACTTTACAACAGGTTGTGGTTGAACCCTTCCTTTGGTGTGGTTCAACTCCCAAGCTCACCAGATCGAACGCTTTGTCTCCTCCACCCACGTGGACATAGAAGTTCACACTTATAAGTCAGGAAACCAAAGGCTTCCCAGGGCTGCCACGCTGTCAGCATCTCAGCGTGCTTGCATTCGTGTCTCTGTTTTTGGCCTCTAGGGATATCTCTTATTTTCTTGAGACTGCTGCCATACATGGAAGATGCTAGTGGCATTTTCTTGGGCATTTCTGAGTGTTTGTAGCAGTATTAACAGTGACATAGATGCCAGGTCTCTGACTGCATCTTGTTCAAGACGGCCTTCAGGCTAACAGCTTCTGTGTACCTTGCATAGTCATGCTAATCATAGAGGAATTCTGCCTTTGCCTTGAGGAGATAAGGGAAGCATGTGTTGTTTATCAAAGATATGCCCTGGCCAGTTTGGCTGGACGGTTACAGCATGGGCTCCAGGACTGCAGAGTCGAGGGTTCAGTTCTAGTCAAGGGCAAGTGCCTCGTACAAGAACGAGGCGGTGCTGAGTACCCAGCAGAGTGCAGGCTTATTGAGGGAAAGACCTGCCGGGCTACCTCTAAGGAGAAAATAGCAACCGGCTCGCCCACTAAGGATTTTTAAACTTAGGGCTGGGGTGGGTGGTCGTTCAGCCGAGGAGTCGTGGGCGTCCTTGATTGGTGGGGGCTGGGGTCTCCTGAAACTTGTTTTTCTTGTCGGGCGACCGATTGCAGGTTTGGGTGGGTCAGGGTGGTTCTGTCATTCCTTCGCCTGACTGGAGTGATGGGTTTGGTTTCCTGGAATGAGAGGCTTGGGGCAAGGTTAACCGATGAGAGGCTGGGGGCATCGATATGAAAGTAAATGATGTAAGAGGCTCGGGCAGTAATATGGAAGTTACAGCTAACACCTCGGTTGTGGTTTGGTCCCCGGCCCTGGGCCTTGGTCGGGCTTGTGTGAGAGGCAACCAATTGATGTGACACATCAGTGTTTCTCTCTTTCTCCCTCCCACTCTATCTGAAGATAAATGAAAAAAAAAAGATGTGAAGGAATTTCATGACAAGACTCACATCAGAGCAGCACAATCTTCCTCTAAGCCCTGCTGGCCCCAGAGGGGTGCAGCGGTCAATCACTTCTTGCCCCCCCCATCTCCCCTTCCTTTGACATAAAAGAGGCCTGAACTCTGTGCTTTCCTAAGATGCATTTGAGGTACCATTAGGGCTCCCATCTTCTTGGTGGGCCCCTTCCCAATCAATAAACCTTTCCTCACTCCAAACTCAGACACTTACTGCGTTTTGGTCTTTCGAAGGGTCAGGCACACTCATTTTAGATGGGTAACAGCAGGTGTCAACATAAGAATGTCTAAATCTATAGAGAATTTTTATCCGAGTTTATTTGAGCCAACCTGACAACAGTTGCCGGGGAAACAAGATCTTAAATGCTACTTCCAAGAATGATAGTTTGCTGTTTCTTTTATGCATTCGAAATGGAGGAGGGGAGTAAGGAAGAGGACGGGAAGTGGGAGGAAGCTAGGCAGGGACTGAATCACAGCACAGTCAACGAGATTATGCACTTTCTGGAGGGTAGTTATGCTTAGTTCAAAGGTATGTTAACCTAGATGCACAGAAACAACGGATAGAGAGAAAGAGAAAAAAAGGGAGAGAAAAGAAACAATAGACAACGCTTGCTTAAGGCAAAGATAAACCTTTTACTAAAAAATAATTATATTCCTAGGGTGTGACTACCCACCATGACCTGATCACTTAGGAATTTATGATCAGATCAGCCTATGAGGTTACTTTCTGTAGAACCCTTTTATTGTCCACATAAAATGTTTGAGTTTTTTTTTTTTGGTACGTGCCCCTAGCGGGAACCGAACCCGGGACTCTCTGGTCCGCAGGGTGACGCTCCAACTGCTGAGCCAAACCGGCCAGGGCTGAAATTTTTTTTTTAATTCGTCATATTACGTACTACCTGGAGCAGAAGGGAACCCTTCATTTTCCTGGTAAAGGTTCTGGACCCGATTCCAAAGTGTATGGTGGGAGGGCGGGGCGGGGGCGGTTTCCCACACTACTGAGCAATTCTCATACACCAGCTGGGTGTCCTACCATTCAGCTCAGCTCTGACACTATCTACCTGGAGATGGAATCAGATCCTACAGATTATGGGCTCAGTCCCACAAGATTTCTCCCCAGCCTTCAGACCCTGTGACAAGCCCAGGTTGTCACCTGTGTTTCCGACCAACCCCAACAGATTAAAGTTTCCAATGACCGTCCCGCCTGGGTTTGATTCATGTGCTAGATAGAGCAGCTCACAGAACTCAGAGAGACACTCGCTAATCAGGGAGGTCACTGGCTTGTTATGAAAGGATATGATTCAGGACTAGCCAGATGGAAGAGATAACACTGTGCAAGGTATAGGAAAAGTGTGAGGAGTTTCATTCCCTCTCTAAGCACCCCACTCTCCCCAAACTTCCATGTGTTCACCGACCTCAAGCCCACAGGCTTTTCAAATCCTTTGGGGAACTTTCTGTTATCACTTTAGGAAAAAGCCTGGGAGTTTTCCTTGCACCTTGACCTTGCCTAGCTCATCCACTGGTCCAGGTGGAGAGGAGCGTGGATCAGTTACCTCCTCAGAAACCCCACTGGTGACCCCAGTTCTCCAATAGCAGGGGCTTCCCGCCTCTACCTGGGCTCCATCCTCAGGTTTTCTTCCCTTCGATTTACCAGTATTAACCTTACAAAATCTCATCCCAGTGGTGATGGGGATGTCTTTATGAATCGTTCTTCTTTCGATGCTAACTATGGTGTTTGGATTGGTGATGAATTAGCAAGAAGAGTCTAGTCACACACACGTATATTCACAAATATCTCTCTCTCAGGTAAGAGTAAAATTCCAATGTAGTTAACCAGGGAGAAAAACACTCTGATCTGAAGTGGGTAGCCTGTGAGTTAAATATTTAATGGAGCCTAAACAGACCTCTGGTGGTCATTGCACTGTCTATACTTGGACCTCTCAACACAATCCAGAAAGAATTGCACCAACAATTACACACATCTCTCTGGATTTTTAGACCAAATATCATTAAAGCCACATGGCTATTGGATGATTAGGAAGGATTATTAAATTAAGAATCAGGCCGACCAGTGTGGCTCAGTGGATTGAGCGTCATCCCATGAACTGAGAGGTCCCAGTTCGATTATCGGTCAGGGCACATGCCCGGGTTGCGGGCTCATTGTTTCTATCTCTCTCCCTTCCTCTCTCTCTCAAAAAAATCATTAAAAACATTTTTTAAAAAAAGCGTGACAGCCCTGGCCAGTTTGGCTTAGCAGTTAGAGCACTGGTCTGGTCACCAATGAGTCGTGGGTTCTATTCTGGTCAAGGGCACGTACCTAGGTTGTGGTTTGTCCCCGGCCCTGGTCAGGGTCGTGTAGGAGGCAACCAGTTGTGTGTCTCTCCCTCTCTCTCTCTCTCTCCCTCTCCCACTCTATCTGAAGATGTTTGAAAAAATATCCTTGGGTAAGGATTAAAAATAAATAAATAGTGACAATTAAATTTTAATAGTGGCCTGAGATTCCTGAATAGTGTGAGGAGGTGCCCATTATCCCCTTTCGGGGGTACTATTTCTGTCCTAAGCAGTACCTGAGTAGCCAGAAAGAGGTCACGAGACCTCCTAAAGTGCTCATTTTTAACCCCTAAAATGATCTGGTTCAATAGGATTAATAATATAACACTTTGCTTTTTCCCCTGTATTTTACCTAATAGATCAAAAAGTTTGCAACTTACGTAGTTGCTGCTGGACTTCAGTATGGAATGGAAGGAGGAATCTTACATTTCTTTTTCAAGGTATGACTTCACAACGATTATGGGGATTTTTAGAAAGGTTTCACCGTACGGTTATCCAATCCGGAGCTATTTGTTACTGCTTCGACATGTGGCTCCACCAGTAAAACAGCAGAGAGTTCGGGGAGAGAGGAGTGTAGACCACAACCACCTGGCTTTCCTTCGCACTGTTAACAACCTGCAGTCCCCATTCTCGGGATAATACAGAGGAAAATGGACCTCCTTCATTCCAAGGCACCACGCTACTGTAAGCATTTTCTCTCCGTGTAGGTAACATGCAGGTGACCACTAAAGACAGCTGATGAGATTACAGATTCCTTGAACAGTATTTTAGCGAGAATGTTGCACTTTATTTCTCCTAAAGGGATATGATAAATCTCATCAGGACTGATTTATCAAACATCTCTTTGAGGCTTCCTTTGGTGATGACTGCAGCAGACAGACGGCTCCCTTGGGTGCCTCTGACTACGCCGTGTAGTGAGCTGCGACGGTCACACCCAGGTGGTGGGGAAAATACGGCTTTTGCTTTTCTTTTTTTTTTAGTTAGCTTGGTTGGGTGAGGTCCCTGCATTGCCAGTTTTTGGAGATGGATCAAATATAATTCCGGCAATTCACGTTCTTGATCTAGCAGGGTGAGTATTCTTCCAGAGACATCACTTCCCTCGAATTAATTGACTAATGGGTTTGTGTGAACAAGTGTTAAGACCCTGATATGTGTTATCATGTGTATTCCTCACAACTACCCAGTGCAGAAAGCACCTTTATCTCCATTTGCACCTGATGAAATTGTGTCCACCATCTAAAAGCCCCACACTTCTGAGGACAAGTTCAGATTCATCTTTAAAACGATGATCAGCAGAATAGCACGTCTTCCAATTCTGGAAGATGAAGAACTTGGGATGTGTGTTCTGGGGCCCAATTTCTTCTTCTTTTGTCCCAGGTGAGACCGATGTGTCCAGCCCACCAGTTTAAATTCCAGAAATTGGACAGGGAGCTCTAAAGCTGAAGTGGGTTGTTTTTGGCAGTTGGTAAAATCGACACACATTTTTCACACTCACAGAGTCCCCGAGTTCTGCTCCAGACAGGTGCAGAGACCCCCTCTCCTTCCTTGTAGACCCTGACTCAAACACGGGTCAAAAGCTCACATACTTTATGTGTGGTTCATCGGTGCTACATTTCGGGTTCCGGGGGCTTTATTTTACCTCCCCCTCTGCCCCTCCCCCTTCCACTTCCCCCTCCACGGGTGGGACTGTCTCAGCTCTTCCCTGAGACTCTGCCTTCTGGATTCCACTCTCCCTTCCATCCGCTGGCCAGTAGTACGTTGGTCACAATCCCAGGCAGATTTACAGATTTACTGGGGCAAAGAATGATGCTTACCCTTTAGGACGCATCCCCTGCATGGGTCTCTTCCAAGGCCTTAAACTCAAATTTTATTATTTTCCTCAAAAAAGGATCCCCTGCCCTGGCTGGGCAGCTCAGTCGGGTGAACGATGCCCCATGCACCGGAAGGTCAGGGCCCATGCCTGGGCTGCAGGCTGGATCCCAGGTGCGAGGGTGTGCCGTCGATACTCTCCTCTCACATTGATGTTCCTTTCTCTCTCCCTCTCCCTTCCTCTCTCTCTAAAATCAATACAAATATTTTTAAGTACACACACACACACACACACACACACACACAAAGAAGGATCCCCGAATCGTCTAAGCTGCAGACTCTCTACAGAACCTAGAGCTGCTCCAGCCAGCATTTACACTGGACACGGGGTGCTGAGTGTTCCCTTCTTTTTCTTCTTTTAAATTTTTTATTTATTCATTTTAGAGAGGGTGGAGGGAGAGAAAGAGAGACAGAGAGAAACATTGATTTGTTGTTCTACTTATTTATCCATTCATTGGTTGCTTCTTGTATGTGCCCTGACCGGGGATCAAACCATCAAACTTGGTGTGTGAAGACAGTGCTCTAACCAACTGAGCTACCTTGCTGGGGTTGCATTATTGCACTATTGGCTTCTAAAGATGTGAAGGAATATTTGACATTACTAAAACAAAATGCTTAGTATTACTTCTTAACATCTTCCAAACAGATAAATTCGAGAGTTCAATTATTCCCATTGCAGAAGGGCTCAGTAGCACATTTTCCTACAGATTTCTTTGAAGACTGTCAAATAGTTAACAAAGGAATAAACAAAAGGATGACACGTTCTGAGAAATTAATATAAAATAATTGTGAAAGGGACATTTAGATGTGTACATTTGTTTTATTTTCATTTTACTGAAAAAAAAAAAAGTCTAAATGGAGGTAGAATTGACAGAGACTTCTATTCACTACTGTCTCTCTCTGGAATCTTTTCTTTTGTACTAAATCCCTGCTCTGCCTCTCGCCAGTTGTGTGAATCCGGGAAAGTTACTTAACCTCTCTGGGTCTGATTTTCTTATCTGTAAGATTAGGATAATAATAGTGCCTACCTGGTCAGATTGTTGTGTGGATTCAATGGGAAAACGCCCAGAAAGCCCCACAGTGCAGTCCTGACACTCAGAAATGGTGGCAGTCATTGTCGATCCAGGCTAGAAAATCTTAGTCCCCGTCCCCAGAGCCATGTGAGCCCCTTAAGAAAACAACAGCTTCTCTGAATCGGTGTCTGCTTTGTGAAACCCAAAGGCCTGGTGTGACAAAGCCCGGGGTGGGCAGATTTCACAAACTGTAGACCTGTGCGGTCAGGTACTCTTTTTTTTTTTCTTTTATCCTCACCCGAGGACATTTTTCCATTTTTTGTTCAGATAGAGCGGGAGGGAGGGAGAAAGAGAAACATCGACGTGAAAGGGACACATCGAGTGGCTGCCACCCGCACGACCAACCAGGGCTGGGGACAGACTGCAACCGAGATATGTGCCCTTAGCGGGAACCAAACCCGGGTCTCTCTGGACCGCAGTCTGCCGCTCTCACCGCTGAGCCAAACCGGCCAGGGCGGGTCAGGTACTCTTTGAAATGCCCTGGGTGGATCTGTCTTCAAAGCCTGCAACCCTTCTGCCAGAGCAGTGTCGCTTAACGCTTCCCCAGCATCCTCATCCGTAGTGCAGACCGTCACCCTCACCCTGACCTTGTGGAGAGGAAGTGACATCGTTTACCAAAACACCAAGCACCGAGGTGCCAGGCGCCCGGGGGCGGTGGTCAGTGGACTGTGGTTTACTACATCTCTTTGGCTTTTTCCCTCCGGTGGTGATTGCCCTGTTGGTCTGCAGAGTGATACAGAACATAATAGACCATGTGCCGAAGATTCATTACCTGGTGGCTGTGGATGAGTCTGCACAGACCCTGGAAGACTTGGTCAAGGTACAGCCATCTTATCCCAGATTTGGTGCCCTTTCTGAAGTCCTTTCACCCCTAACGTATAGCTGCGGTGCTCACAAGACTGGGGACTCCTGAAGCAGAGTACCCTTAAAGCCAAGCTCGCCTCTGCATTTGCAGTACAGGTGTCGGGAAGTCACAATCTAAATGGCCTTTCTCCAGTAACGGCATGAAGGGAAGCAGGAAAGGCCACTGGAGGGCTGGACACACTCAAGTCACTCACCGAAATACTAAAATGTGTCTGTGCACACGCGTCTACTGCCAGCTTCCAGGAGCTCTGGGTCTGTTAACGCTCCCTCTCTAGTCCCTGCTGCTCTGGCTAAAGCCACCTGTCATGTCACCTTGTAGCAGAGATAGCCTTCTCCTGTCCTTCCCCCTCATCCTTTTTTAAAAGATATATATATATGTGAAAAAATATATATATGTACAAATGTATATATACATATATATACACTTTTAAACATATTCTCTTTATTGATGTTAGAGAGAGGAAGGGAGAGGGAGAGAGAGAGAGAAACATCGATGAGAGAGAACATTGATTGGCCGCTCCTGCCTGCCCACCTCTGGGGACCGGGCCCACAACCTGGGCATGTGCCCTGACCGGGAATCGAACTGAGGACCTCTTGGGGCATGGGTCGACGCTCAACCACTGAGCCACACTGGCCAGGCTCCTCATCTTTAACATTCAGCTCAGGCATCTCCCTCTGCACCCTCCCTGCCTCCTTCCCACCTTCCGCACAGCCGGTGTTTCTTCCCTACTCCCAGCACCCCTTCCCCAGCTGCAAACACTGCACACCTGTGCACACAGGTCTGCCTGCCTTTTAGATGAGGAGCTTCTTGAGGGCAGGAATCAGGCCTTCCTCGTGCCCACACGCAGGCCCTGGCAAGCAGTGCCGAGGTTAAAGAGACGAACGAATGCCCTCCGTGTACGCCCCTTTGTTTTGCGTTTTTTTCATAGTCACTTGTGCTTGCATTCATTTGAGAATTTTTATATCAAAAACCTTACCGGTAACACAAATACCATTTCTATTTCTCTCTAACAGTGCATCAGTAAACATACCGGCCCTGGGAAAGTCCAGAAAGTCCTCAAAGAAAATGCTTTCCTGACCAAGGACTTAACAGTCAGTATAGAAGGGATTCCTTCTTTTCTACCCCTTTCCTGCACGGAGTGGTCTTGAGAGGTCTGCATCAGAGTGCCTGGCGTCCGAGCTCCTGGCAGCTCGTCCCGCACAGCCAGCCGCCCGCCCCACGCAGCGGTCTCTTCTCCCCCAGGGCCCATTTCCCGTCCTGAACAGCTCTTCGAGGCCGTGGTCCCAAAATGTCCTTGAAAGCTGCTGGGTGTGGAAAGTGCTCTCCAGACACTGGGTGGCATTCTCTCTGGCCTCTTTCTAAAATTCACTCAGGAGGCGGAGCTTCAGATTCCACACCACAAAAACCAATGGGCCTCAGTCGCGCCGGGTGCCTGGAGCTAGCTGGGCTGTCGTTCTGGTTAGGAATAAGCGGTGGAAACGCCGCATTTGAGGATGTTTCTGCAAGCACCGGCCTCCCTGGCGGCCGAGGAGCAGACGTGGGTGGGTGGTGATGGCGTCCAACGGAGCTTTGCCGTCTGCTCTTTGTTCTCTGGGATTTTTTGAACCAAGAGATTGCGCTGTTCAAAAAGGAGATGTAATTACATAATTTGAAGAAGAAAGCGTCTACTTGGGTTTCCAGGATCTTCCTCCTCTGAGTGGCCTGTGCAATGGCAGGGGCCAGGCTGCTGCCCTGCAGGAGCGAGAGGCGGGGGAGGGTGCAGACGAGTCAGAGCATCCTGGGGGCGGCTGGTCTGTACTCAGTGCTGCCTTAATGGATGTGTAGTGAGTGGGCATATATCTTCCTCTAATAATCAGAGATTTGAGTCTGTTCTAGCCGTCAAATAAAAATAGACAGATCTCTAATGTGCCTTTATCCCTTAGCAAGAGAGTATTGACCATTTGCTGGTCAACCTGAGGATGGAAGCACTCTTTGTGAAGGAGAACTTCAACATTCGATGGGTTTCCCAAACGGGGTTCGTGGAAAACATCAACAGTCTCCTCAAAGAGTACAAGCAGAGCCGAAAATTGTTGGTAACTATACCCATTTCCTGTTTCAACTTCTAGTGTAACTATAGCAACGAGAGGGTCTGTCTTCTCACATGTGCACATGTCTAAGTTCAATTCTTTTTCACATTTGACCCATTTGTCCAGGTCTAACAATCTGCACGTGTATTATAGGTATGCTGTCAATCGAATTAAAAAAATTTTTAAGTTAACATAGATGATGACTGGTATTCTCGACACATTGAATGTGATAGTAGGCTCAAGACTGATTGTCACAGGGTTGTCTGTGTACGGAGAAAAGTCCGGTGCCCTGTGCCTGCCTGTTTCAGCCCTGGATATACATACCGGAGAGCGTAGGAGGAGGTGGAAGAAGTCTGATGATTTCTTTGATCCTGTTGGCCAGGAGAGTCACTGGTCATTTTATTAATTTATTTATATATTTTTGTTAACCCACACCTGAGGATATTTTTTTATTGAGCTTTAGAGAGAGTGGAAGGGAGGGAAGGAGAGAGAGAGAAACATCGATGTGAGAGAGACACATCTATTGGTTGCCTCCTGAATGCACCCTGACAGGGGCCAGGGATCAAACCTGCAACCCAGGTACGTGCCCTTGACCTCAGGAATCGAACCTGCGACCCTTCGATCTTCAGGCCGATGCTCTAACCACTGAGCAAACCAGCCAGGGCTCGCTGGTCATTTTAATCATCACAACTTTTCAAGGAAGATATTCTTCTTCTTCTTCTTTTTAATGTTTTTATTGATTTTAAAGAGAGAGGGAGAGATAGAAACATGGATGAGAGGGAAACATCAATCAACTGCCTCCTGCATGCCCCTTATTGGTGATGGAGCCCTCAACTCGGGCAGGTGCCCTGACTAGGCAATGAACCAGTGACCTCTTGGTGCATGGGATGACTCTCAATCCACTGAGCCACACCCACTGGGCTCAAAGAAGACATTCTTATTTCCATGTTATAGATGTGAAAACCAAAGCTTAGAGAGATGAAGCACTTTCTTCAATGTCACACGGCTATTAGGGATTCAAACTAGCAGGACGCAAACTTAGCTAGAATGGTCCCCAAAGCCTTCAAACCCCCTCTCTGAAATCAGGTAAATGCAGCACTTGCCCAGATCTTCGGATTTATTCCAGGGAAGCACCACAAAGGTGACAGAGAACATTATGTGAGAAAATGTTTGGAAAACTGGAGTGCAGCATATGAGTAACGGGTGCCGTCGTAACTGTAAAGACCACTGCACACGGGAATACTTCGTACAAGCAAGTGCAGCATCACCATTGTATCCGAGGAACCATATTTTCCTGAAAAGCATGCCTCATTAATAAGTAAAAGTGCCCTGGCCGGTTTGGTTCAGCGGATGGAGAGTCAGCCTGTGGTCCAGAGAGACCTGGGTTCGGTTCCTGCTGAGGGCACCTACCTCGGTTGCAGTTTGTCCCCAGCCCTGGTTGAGTCATGCAGGTGGCATGTGTCCCTTTCACATCAATGTTTCTCTCTCCCTTTCTTTCTCTCTCCCCCTCCCACTCTATCTGAACAAAAAATGGGAAAATGTCCTCAGGTGAGGATAAAAAAGAAAAAATAATAATAAGTAAAAGAGCCCTGGCCCATGTGTGGCTCAGTTGGTTGGAGCGTTGTCCCATACACTAAAAGGTTTTGGGTTCGATCCCCAGTTGGGGCGTATGCAGCAGGCAGCGGATAGATGTTTATCTCTCACGTTGATGTTTCTCTCTCTGTCTAAAGTCAGTTTTTTACAAAAGTAAAAGATATATCCCTTAGCAAAAGAAACAATGACCCCTTTAACCATCCGAGACTGTACTTGGTGGCTGTACTTGGAGACTATTCTGAGGCACAGACCCACCCAACTCAAGAGGTGAGACTAGGGTTTCCTCTGTGAGTCAACTGTAATAGGACACACAGAGACTAGACACCTTAGAGACCAGGTGGTTCCTGATTAGCAGATTGGCCAAGAACGTGATAGAAGGAATAAGTATATCTAAAAATGTAACAGTCTATCCATCCCTGGGGGCGCAGCAGCAGAGAACAGAAAACATTATGAGGGCAATGTGTAGATGTAGCCTCAAGCCCAGGGCTTCTGCAGTTCCAGTTCCTTAGCAAAACAAAGTCCTGCCAGGCAATGGACAGTCCACTCATCTACTTCTCCTGCTGTCATCAAAGCGCATCAAGCAATCCTCCATGCCTGTCCACCCTGAGGGAGCAAACGTACCCAGACTGTCTTGAGTTCAGTGGTAGTCTTGCTTCTCATTATAAAAGAATAAACTGCCATTCGGGTTTTGTACCTGGACAAGGTGAGCTCAGCTGTGTGTGCACAAAACAAGGCATGTGGACCTGCTCAGTTGACACCTGAACTTCAGACCTTGTGAACAAATGCATGGAGCCCGCCCAGGAACACAGCCCTGCCCGTCAGGACTCAGCTTCAGAGTTGCTCTGACACCTGTCCCTCCATCCCCCACTGCCTGCCATCTCGGTCCTTACCATCATCTGGAGAGTGCCCATCATTAACCAGAAGGGACATTTATGGCCACCACTTCTCACCCAGCACCACGCAATGTCTCTGCTTATTTCCTTCACGGCCTTGGTTTCCTCATCAACAACTGGTAGTAACAACAACAACCATAGCCAACTTTCTGGATTGAATCATGTCATCTTCAAGCGCATGGACACACTGATGATGGAAATTCTTTACGATGGCATGATTTTTAAAAACTTTTTATTTTAATCCTCACTTAAGGACGTTTTTTCATTTATCTTCAGATAGAGCGGGAGGGAGAGAGGAAGGAAGCAGAGAGAAACATCGATGCGAGAGAGACACACCGAGTGGTTGCCACCCACACTACCCCAACCGGGGCCAGGGACAAACTGCAATCGAGGTACGTGCCCTTAGCAGGAACTGAACCCAAGATTCTCTCATCCGCAGGCTGACGCTCTAACCGCTGAGCCAAACTGGCCAGGGCTTACAAACACAGGCTAAAGAGTCACGGGTTTGATTCCAGTCAAGGGCACGTACCTGGGTTGTCATTTGTCCTGGGCCCTGGTCGGGGTCACACAGAACGCAACCGTGTGTCTCTTTCACATTGATGTTTCTCTCTCTTCCTCCCTCTCACTCTATCTGAAAATAAATAGAAAAATATCCTCGGGGGAGGAAATAAATAAATAAATAAATAAATAAATAAATAAATAAATAAAATGTTCTTAATTTGCCTTACAAAACCCTAGGCCTTGGTTTCACAACTGTTTGGACCACTATGAGAGAAATGACTATTTGTTACTGATATTTTTATTTCTGCTGAATGTGAACATTTAGTCACTGGTTATGAATGGGACAGAACTTCTTTAGCATTCAAGCAAGTTTTTCAGCAGAAGAAATAGCATTCTTTTTTTAAATGAGTGTATTTTGACTTCCGGTCAAGATGGCGGGTAGGTAAATGCGGTATCCGTCCTCCCACAACCACATCAAAGTTACAACTAAACTACAGAACAACCATCATTCAAAACCGCCAGACATCGAGCTGAATGGCAGTCCTACAGCTACGGGATTAAAGCAGCAGCCACACCGAGACTGGTAGGAGGGCGGAGGGGATGGGCTGGTCCCACACCCACGTGTGGCGGATGAAAATCAGGAGGACACCTCGGCTGGGAAGGTCCCCCCTGAGGACTGAGGGGTCCCCGTCCCACACCAGGCCCCCAGCTCAGGGTTCCAGTGCCAGGAAGAGAATCCCCATCACTTCTGGCTGGAAAAACCAGCGGGAACTGAGGCTCAGGGAGGCGGCTGGAGCCCCAGGCAGCTCCTCTTAAAGGGCCCGCGCACGGACTCATCGGACTCTCTCCCTCTAAGCTCGGAGGGGAGGCAGCTCGAGGGGCGCCAGAGACATACAGGGAAGAACTGAGCTGTTTGGCACTGGAGCGAGGGCTGGAGAGGGGGCTTTCTCCGGGACAGATGTGCTGTCAGACGCTTTTGTTCCTTTGGTGAGCCCTTCCCTGGGGCGGCAGACAGCAGCCATATCTGGGACTCCAGCAACCTGGCTCACACTGGTAGCCCCGCCCTGGTGATTTCCTGAGGCCCCGCCCCGCCCCACCCAACTTTCAGGCCCACCCAAGCTGTTGCCAGTTGCTTACCCATAGGATTGGCCTGTCTTGGATCTGCTTCAGGTTTTCCTAAATTCTTTCAAACAAGCAGCATCTGGTCTCAGATAGCCCCATACCTCTCATTAAGTAATACACAGAAACAAACACAGGGAGGCAGCCAAAATGAGGAGACAAAGAAACAGGTCTCAAATGAAAGAACAGAACAAAACCCCAGGAAAAGAAATAAGTGAAATGGAAATAAGCAACCTAACAGATGCTGAGTTCAAAATCCTGCTTATAAGGATGCTCAATGAACTTAGTGAGAACCTCAGCGAACTTAGTGAGGACCTCAAGAGCATAAAAAAGGACCAGTCAGAAATGAAGGATGCACAGTCAGAAATGAAAGAGGCACTAACTGAAATAAAGAATAATTTACACAGATTCAATAGTAGAGTAGGTAAAGCCAAGAAGCAAACCATCGATTTGGGATATAAGGAAGCAAAAAACACCCAATCAGAACAGCAACAAGAAAAAAGAATCCAAAAAAGAGAGGATAGTGTAAGGAGCCTCTGGGACAACTTCAAGCGTGCCAACATTCACATCTTGGGGGTGCCAGAAGGAGAAGAGAGAGAACAAGAAATCAAAAACCTATTTGAAACAATAATGGCAGAAAACTTCCCTAACTTGGTGAAGGAAACAGACATACAAGTCCAGGAAGTACAGACAGTTCCAAAGAAGATGAACCCCAAGAGGCCCACACCAAGACACATCATCATCAAAATGCAAAAGGTTCAAAACAAAGAGAGAATCTTAAAAGCAGCAAGAGAAAGGCAGCTAGTTACCTACAAGGGAGTTCTCATAAGGCTGTCAGCTGATTTCTCAAAAGAAACTTTGCAGGCCAGAAGGGAGTTGCAAGAAATATTCAGAGTGATGAAAACCAAGAACCTACATCCAAAATTACTCTATCCTGCAAAGCTGTCATTTAGAATCGATGACCATATAAAGAGTTTCCCAGACAAGAAAAAGTTAGAGGAATTTATCACCACCAAACCGTTATTATATAAAATGATGAAGGGTGTTTTTGAAGAAAAAGAGAAAATATATGCACAAACAAAATGGCAATGAGTACATATCTATCGACAATTGAAACTACAAACAAAATGAACAGGCAGAACAGAAACATTCTCATAGATACAGAGCTCATTTTATTGGTTGCCAGATGGGAGGGGGGTTGGGGGAATGGGTGAAAAGGTGAAGGGATTAAGAAGTACAAATTGGTTGCTAGACTGACAAACCTCAAAGGGAAGGGCGTTGCGGGGTGGGAAGAAACAAACCAAAGAACTTATATGCATATATGCATAACCAATGGACACAGACAACAGTGTGGGAAAAGGCGGAAGGGAGGGGAGTGGGAGTGGGGAGAAGGGGGTCAATGGGAAAATGAGGAACATCTGTAATACATTCAACAATAAAGATAAAAATAAATAAATAAATAAATAAATAAATAAATAAATAAATAAAATAAATGAGCATATTTTTAAAAACTAGAGTAAATTGCCCTGGCCAGTTTGGCTCAGAGATAGAGCATTGGCCAGTGGACCAATGAATCGCGGGTTTGATTCTGGCCAAGGGTGTGTACCTCAGTTGTGGTTCATCCCCGGCCCTGGTCGGAGTCATGTGGGAGGCACCCAGTCGATATATCCCTCTCACATTGATGTTTCTCTCTCTCTCCCTTTCTCTCCCTGTCTCCCCCTTCCACTTTATCTGAAGATAAATAGAAAAATATCCTCTGGTGAGGATTAAAAAAAAACAACGAGTAAATTATCTGTGTTAAAAAGGAAAGTATAGCCCTGGCCTACAAGTTCAGTGGTTAGAGCATTGGCCCAGGCACTGAAGGGTCCTAGGTTCAATCCTCGGCCTGGTCAGGGCACATATGGGAAGCAACCAATCTATGTTTCTCTCTCTCTCTCCATTTCCCCCCTCTCTTCCACTCTCTCTAAAAATCAATGAAAAAAATATCCTCGGCAGAGGATTAATAAGAAAAAAAGAGGCAAGTATAATTAAAGACCAAGACCAGTCCAGAAATAGTATTCATGAGGCAATAAATTAAGCACTATCTACACCAAAGCAGACGTTCTTCAATGTCTGTGTTCTTTACAAGAGTAATATAACAACTGGAACTAGTAGCATGTTCTGCTCGAATACTGTCTTTTTTAGCACTGTTGAGTATTCCTGAGCACATGTGTGAGTGTCTATGCCCCACAGCCAGGCCATGCTTGCTAAGTACTTAGAGGAAGTGGCTGGAGAGGTAGCTCTGCGGGATCCCGAGGCTCCGAAGGCCACCTCTGAAAAGCCAAGCGCGCTGTCAGCTACAGGTGGAGCAGAACTCACTCTGTGATCTTTCCGCTCCTGTTTCAGCCCATAAAGATTTGCATTCTCGGCCCGCCTGCTGTGGGGAAATCCAGTATAGCTGAAGTGCTGACCAAGTACTACAAGCTCCATCACATTAAACTGAAGGACGTCATTTCTGAAGCCATAGCAAAACTGGTACGATTTTTAACTACTTTCTGGGGAATTTTTCTATTTTAAAAACACTTTTCTTAACTGTGTGTTAAAGGAGCCGCGGATTTTACATGACATCCTACAAAGAGGCGTGTTGCTTTAACTGGATTTTATTGTTGGCCCCACTTCGGAAAACACTGAACCCCACAGGGCTTTACTCCATGAGACCGAAGCATCTTGCACGGGTTGCCCTTGAAATTTAGTCTGTCCCCAGCTGTCGCTCAAAATATATCTTCTACTCTCTCTGTTGACTGGAACCTTTTTAATCTTTTTTTTTTTAATTCTTCAGGTATGTTTCTCAGAGTATTATCAGACAGTTTGTTTATTAAATGCTTTTTTAAAGAAAGGCTTTATTTTCTTAGAGCAGTTTTAGGTTCACAGCAAAATTGAGAAGAAGGTTAGATTTCCCATATGCCCCACCCCTCCCACAGCAGATGATTAGTGAGTAGCCAATCAGTGCAGAGCATCATCCATTGGAGGACCCCTGGCAGATGATTAGTGAGTAGCCAATCAGTGCAGAGCATCATCCATTGGCGGACCTCTGTGGTGTGCAGGAGGCCACTGTGACACCTAAGTATGCCCGGGAAGAAGACGATGAAGATGAAGATGAGGAGGAAGAGGACAGCGTGGAAGAGGCACAGGAGCTCTTGGATGGCGTCAAAGAAAGCATGGAGCAGAACGCAGGTAACCACACAGCACAGGGCCATGCTGGTCTTGTTAACCATGTTTTTTTGTTTGTTTTTCTCCAGGTAAACAGCACAATGTTTTTATTATTTCATTTACTTTATTTTTCTAATTTGGTCTGTGAATCTTTCTGTTATTCTCCCCTTGTTATGAAAGACTATTTGTCTGCTATTATACGTTAAGTATAGAAATTGTAACAACCACAAAGAAAAATTTAATTTATAATCTCCTCTCCAAGGGAAAAAAGTCACCATAAATATTTTGGTGATTGGCCCTGGCTGGTTTGGCTCAGCGGTTAGAGTGTTGGCCTGTGGTCCGAAGAAACCCAAGTTCGGTTCCCACTAAGGGCGCGTACCTTGGTTGCAGTTTGTCCCCAGCCCTGGTTGGGTTGTGCAGGTTGCAACCGCTCGATGTGTCCCTTTCACGTCGATGTTTCTCTCTATCTCTCTCCCTCCCACTCTATCTGAACAAAAAATGAAAAAATGTCCTCGGGTGAAGATTAAAAAAAAAATTTTTTTTTTGGTGATTGATCATGAGATGGGAAAGGCCCTGGCAGGTGTGGCTCAGTTAGTTGGGCGTTGGCCTGTACATCAAAAAGTGGCCGGTTTGACTCCCAGTCAGGGTTTCTGGCTCCATCCCCTGTAGGGGGCATGCAGAGGCAGCTGATGGATGTTCTGCTCTCACATCGATGTTTCTCCTTTCTCCCTCTCCTTTCCTCCCTTACTGAAAAATCAATAAAAATATTTTTAAAAAATAAGATGGGAAAGAACTACCTAAGTTAAAAAGAATAAAATGTGTAGTCATACATATTTTATAAGCATCAAAAATCATTAACTTAAAGGCAGAAGACAAACCAGGAAAAAATACTTGTCACCAATATGACAGTTAATATCCTTAATATATAAAATACTCAGGCAAACTAATCAGAAAATCATTAAATCCTTAATAGAAAAAAAAGTGATGAATAACGTGGACCCATATTTAATGTAGGAAGGAATACAAATCATTGGGAAAATATTCCTACTCTTGTTTGGACATAAGAAACATCCAGACCTGTAGAGAATTTTTATGAGTTTGAGCCAAACTGACAACATATACCGGGGAGCAAGATCTCAAATGCTCTGGAATAACAGTGTGCAGCCTCTTTTATACATTTGAGATTAAGGAGGGAAAGTAGGAAAATTACATCTGGCTGGTGTGGCTCAGTGGTTGAGTGTCGACCCATGCACCAAGAAGTCACTGGTTCCATTCCGGGTCAGGGCACATGCCCAGGTTGTTGGCCTGATCCTCGGTGGGGGGCATGTAGAAGGTGGCCAATCAATGTTCTGTCTCATCAATGTTTCTATCTCTCTCTCCCTCTCACTTCCTCTCTCTCTAAAATCAATAAAGGAAAAAAAATTTTTTTAAAGACAGTAGGAAAAGTACATACAGTGGGAGGAAGCCAGGTGGTGATTGAATTACAGGACAGTTAAGGAGATTTTGTGCTCTCTTGAGAGTTACCTTCTCCCAGGTATTACTTCAGGCATTTGCACAAGAATAATGGACAGGGCTGACTTAAAACCTTTCACTAAAAAGTTATGTTCCTGGGGTGTGCCTGCCCACCTCAACCCGCCCAGTTAGAGATCTCTGATCAGATCACCCTGCGATGTTACTTTCCATAGAACCCCCTTTTTCATCCATACTCACTTGGTAATTTTAACCAGTTTGTTGAACAAACTCATCACAGTCAAGTGTCACTGTCAACTCAAAATCTGGACTCATTTTCCCCCCCACCCTGGCATGGATTTTAAGGCCAGTCTCACTGCAACCCCTGGATGATAAGTAAGTAGCCGCATCGTTTTTTTGTTTTTGTTTTTGAAGAGAGAGAGAGGGAAACATCGATGTGAAAGGGACACATCGAGTGGCTACCACCTGCACGACCAACCAGGGCCGGGGACAAACTGCAACCGAGGTACATGCCCTTAGCGGGAACCGAACCCAGGTCTCTCCGGACCGCAGGTGGATGCTCTAACCATTGAGCCAAACCGGCCAGGGCAGTAGCCGCATTGTTAATTCATGCTTTAAGAATTCCATTCAAATAACCACAAGCTGGGTTTTTTAACTGAGATGTTTCTAAGGGAGCTTGCTACCCAGCAGGAAAACTGAGTTAGCAATTGTTAGAAAAATGAAACCATTTCATTTTCACACGTAGACAGTTGAGTTCCTCCATCAACTGGTTCTACTAGTATTGTCTAGAGACCAGTCCAATGGTGTGGACTCTCAGGCAGTGGAGAGTTTCTCCCCTGACTGTCTCATCAAGCACGTTTGGTTTCTCCTCTTGGTTTACTTCTCCCGTCTTGCTGGTGGCTGTTTCTGATCTTCCAGGGTTGGACTGGGGCAGGAGGGAGTTAGGGAAGGACAGAAGTGTAAACTGGCCCTGGGTGACAGGTGGCCTGGGTGCCTGCTGCTTCTTCCTGGTGTTGTGCCTCTTTGGGCCGCTGGGCCGCCCCCTGCCTTCCCCTGAGGCACTGCTCCTGAGTACCCTCCCCACCTCTGGTCTCGGCCCGCCACCCTCCATCCTCCAGGCGGTCCTCTTCCCAACTACTCATCTTCAGTGACTGGTGTCCCTACATGCCCTCCTGAAATCCAGGCTGCCCTTCCGCCTCCTCCCCTCCGACCCCAGGCCATGCCAGCCTGGTTTTCAGCAGCAGAGGAAATGGTCTTGTTAGCATATACTGAGTGTCCACTTCAACCAGGGGGTATCTCAGTCTTGGTTTCTGCTTAGGCGAGGGCTGGGCCAGGAGGAGGTGGAATGCAGAGAGACTTCTTAGCACAGAAGGAAGGCATGCAGCAAGCACAGGTGAAAACTTCGAGGTACACCACCACCTCTGCCTCTCCCCGGAGACCCGGAGCCACTCTCCTGGTTTAGAGTGTAACAGAGCCCTGCTTCCACCATCTGGGGGAGAGGAGAAACCCGAGAGAAGACATTCTTGGGGGGGGGGGGACGCCTGTGGAAGGAAATCTGGCCAGGACACATTGGGGGGGGGGGGGCTTTGAGATCTTGCTTTCGGATATGTCATCAATTTGGCTCAGATAAACTTATAAAAATTTTCTAGCCCTGGCCAGTCTGGCTCAGCTGTTAGAGCGTCAACCTGTGGACCAGAGAGTCCCAAGTTTGGTTCCCGCTAAGGGCACGTACCTCGGTTGCAGTTTGTCCCCGGCCCCGGTTGGGGTTGTATGGGTGGCAACCAGTTGATGTTTCTCTCTCGCATCGATGTTTCTCTCGCTCTCTCTTCCCCCCTCTCTCCCTCCCGCTCCATCTGAAGATAAATGCAAAAAATGTCCTTGGGTGAGGATAAAAAATAAATAAAAAGTAAATTTTTCTAAAAAAAAAAAAATAATAAGGATGGAGGCTGGGCTTTTTAGGAATCCACAGGTGTACATGGCCTTGTGTACATACACTTTTCTTTCTTTCTTTTTACAATTTTTAAATTGATTTTTAGTGAGAAAAGAAGGGAAAGGGAGAGAGAGAGAAACATTGATGCAAGAGCAAAACATCAATTGGCTGCACACCCCTTATTGAGGATCGAGCCCAAAACATGGGCACATGTCCTGACCCAGAATTGAACCAGCAACCTTTCAGTATACAGGACGATGCCCAACCAACCGAGCCACACCTGCCAGGGATGTACATACATTCTAAGCCCAGATGTAAGGACAGAAAGAGGCACTAGGGGCAGTGAATGATGCCACCCCCAGAAGAGAGGCAAGAATTACTAGTTTTCAAGCTAACCAGACCAGACAAACAATGGACAATATTTATTGACAGAGTCATGTATAATAGGTCTTTGCAAGGCCCCAAAGTCTTATCCAAGAACTCCATGTAACAGGGTGGTGCGACGTGCCAATGGGGTTCTTTCCGTGCCTGGGAGGTGACATATGGAAGCACTGTCGAAGAGACAGTGCTAAGTTGAGGATAGTCACTGCATTGCACAAGGTCAAGAAGGACCTATCTTTGGCTGGAGACTGTTCTTCCCAGATGCAAAAGGCCAGACGGGCTCAGCAGCCTCTGTCTGGAGGGGTCCTGGGAGGGAACAGCGGGTGTGGTCTGAGGGAACTAAAAGTCTTCAGAACAGCAACTACCCCTTCCCTCTCTGCTCTACCCACCACCTACCCCCCCCACTTCCTATAAGATTGGGAGAATTCCTCAACCCCCTCAAGTTTTCCAAAAATCCTTCCTCGTCATATTTACCAGAAACTAGAACGTGAACCTTGATTAAATATTTGAACAAAACTCGATCTTGGAACCTACCACATAGACCCACATAGAAATGTCACAGCATGAGGACACAGAAGTGAGCTCACTTGTCCCTAACATGACCCAGTTTGTGATTGTATGAGTCAAATGATTACAACAAGACAGATTTCACAATGCCACCATAAGGCACCTCCATGTCCTGTTCATACATAATTCCACTCCCGTCTACCCCCTGACAGTGCAGCCAAAACACGACTTGGTTAAATCTCCTAGTGCACTAGTGTGTGTGTGTGTGTATACACACCTCACTTTATATTTCCAAAGCATTGTAGAATTATTAAATCTAGTTAGTGGGATGCCAGATGATTGATAGATCATTGGGCTATTTCAACTAGTCTGTGAATTTGAAAATATAAAACTCTGGGATAAAAAACATGTAAATGTATCAACCTCACAGTGTCTGTGCTGTGCATAGATTATTTAAAACCTTGCTATTTAAGCCTGCCGAGTGTGGCTCAGATGGTTGAGTGTCAACCCATGCACGAAGAGGTTGCCAGTTTGATTCTTGGTCAGGTCAGGGCACATGTCTGGGTTGCAGGCTCAATCCCCAGTAGGGGGCATGTAGGAGACAGCCAATCAATGTGTCTCTCTCACTGATGTTTCTCCCTCTCCCTTCCTCTCTTCTCTAAAATCAATAAAAACATATTCAAAAATAAGTACAACCTTGGTACTTAAATTTTTTGAGATTTTTGACTTTTATTTTTTCATAAGAATTGTTCTCCCTCTAACCCTCAGCTCTTTGGAGGAAATGCACAATGTCCTTTTATGGTCATTCATGGTAATGATATTTATCAGATTAAAAACAGTTGTTGGGTTTGGCAGATTCTTATTTTCAAAAATACCTTGGTTGTAGTTACCTGTTTTTAAACCCTGTTGTAGTAAGTATGAATAAGTAAGTATTAATATTAGCATTTTAAATACTACTGGTATGTCAAAGATAGACAATTTTTTTTTTTAAGTAGTGTGGTGTTTTAAAGGCTATCCAGTAGAGCTGCACTCATTCATTTCAAAGCAGAAGGGACAGTCCCCTTCCAAGGAGCTCGACACTGGCTCTGGGTGTATATCTAGGAGGCCACGGTTCCCTAGAGAAAGGCACTTGGGCGTAGTCCTGTGTGTACTCACAGTCCATAATTATCATCAACTGCTGTTGGAGGTCCCTTCTTACATACTGGACACCTGAGTTCAGAGGCAAACAGAAATGAATGGCAAAGCTCACAGCCTGAAATAAACCACGGTAGTGCGTGTTCCTTCTCTGACGCATGCCCGTGCCTTTCCCATTCCCCCACCACCCCCTCCTTCTCCCCAGAGATGTAAAGACAGGCACATTACCTTAGCCTTTCTCTCTCCTAAGCTCCAAGGGCCCTTCTTCTGCCTCTGTAACTTGTTTCCTGAGCCCACGCAGCCCAGCTGGCTCACTTCTTCTACCTCTGTGACTTTCTAAATAAACTTTCTCGTTTAATTTGAAAAAAAATAATAAACCCAAGGAAGGCTGTTGAAGGGAATGGAAGCTGGATTTCTGAGTCTGCCTTTGCTTTACCAAAGAAGCCTTTGAAAATTGAGAGTAGAGTGTTCAAACACTTGTCCTTGAATATTAGTGAATCCCTTGACTTAAAAAAAAATTTGTCTTTATATCTTTGCACCATTGTGAACCTTACTGGGAAGTAAAGTCAGATCATTTTGAGGAATTTCATTATGCCAAATAATACTTTTGATTATTTTTTTGTCTCTGCCATAATATTCAAATTTCTGAAAGACAGCTATTTTCTGAATCAGTTACTACGTAATGATTAGTGTGACAATGAAAAGTAGAAGGAGAGGTGTTTTGGTTTGGTCATTTTATTGTCATTAATAGAGTGATAAAAAGAGGTAAAAAAAACTATTTATCTCAAAAGCCCACTGATAAACCTAAAGTGTCCCCGGCCCCAGTTGGGGTCATGCAGGTGTCAACCAATCGATGTGTCTCTCTCACATTGATGTTGCTCTCTCGCTCTCTTTCCCCCTTTCTCCCTCCTGCTCTACCTGAAGGTAAATGCAAAAATGTCCTCGGGTGAGGATAAAAAAGAAAAGTTTCTTGTGAACCCAAAGGGTCTCAATTACCTTCAGTTCAAAATAATTCACAGGTCACAGTGGAACACTTTGTAGATGCCTGTTCTGAATCTCTACATCTTTAATCTTTGTGCCAGTTTTATTTATTTAAAAAAAATTTTAATTTACTTATGGATTTGAGAGAGAGGAAGGAGGGAGGGGGGAAAGAGAGAGAGAGAGAGAGAGAGAGAGAGAGAGAGAGATCAGTGTGTTGTCCCACTTAGTTATGAATTCATTGGTTGATTCTTGTATGTGCTCTGACCAGAGATCAAACCTACAACCTTGGTATATTGGGGTGCTGCTCTAACCAGCTGAGCTACGGCGCCAGGGCCACTGCGCCCGTTTTAGAACAAACTTCCCCCTCTTCAGTCTCCACAGGCAATTGCATCAGCCAAGGCTTGAGAGGGACCTGTCCAGCGGGGCCAAGGTCAGAAATGCCATGAAGACTGGAAAAGACAGGGAGCAGGGTGGGGCCACTGTCCTTTCTGCAGCTTTCAAGAGAATGGGGGACTTTGAGGCTCAGATCTAGCTTAACTTTTATTCAAATGCAGCAACTGTTTATCAAACACCTACTAATACTAAATCGTGTGCTAACAGCATCCAAGAATATTATCTTAATTCACACCGCAGAAGCATCTACATTCCGTGTAGGGGTACAGAGGGATGATGTCCACACAGAATTGCGTAGACCCTGTTGTTAAGCACGAACGCTCTGGATTTCTCCGCTTTCTCCACATTCAACTGCGCCCGGAAGCTGCGACCACAGAAACCTTCTGGAAATGCGAACACAGCACTTGCTCTGTTCTTCCCGGGAGACGGGCATATTGGGCTCTCCCACTGTACTGTACGCTCGAATCAATGTGTCGTGTTTGAGATCCAAAATCACCCACTGTTCACTTTAATGGAAAAATAAGGGACCACATGGTCGTTTTTCAGATGACTGTTCATGTAACCCCTACGTAGAATTTGACTCCACAGCAATATTTTTCTTTCCTTTTTTATTAGGCCGACTGGAAGATCAATATATAATTCGATTTGTGAAAGAAAAGCTAAAATCCATGCCTTGCAGGAATCAAGGTTACATTTTGGATGGATTCCCAGAGACCTATGACCAAGCCAAAGACCTGTTCATCCGTAAGTCTGAGCGCTCCCTCTGTTTTTTTTTGTTTTGTTTTGTTTAACATTTTTTCTTTATTGATTTGAGAGAGAGAGAAACATCGATGAGAGAGCACATTGATTGGCCACCTCCTGCATGCCCCTCACTGGGGATTGAGCCCACAACCTGGGCATGTGCCCTGACGGAGAATCGAACCTACAACCTCTCAGTGCATGGGTCAATGCTCAACCACTGAGCCACACCAGCTCCCTCTATTTTGAATATTTGCATTCAGATGAGGTGCAACTTTACTGTTCAGAGTAAAAATCACTCAATTAAAATTAGTGACTAGTAGTTAAAATAGCTAAATTTTTTGAGCTGTCCATAACAATAATAGATAATAACCACAACAATGTATATTTTGTTTTATTAGAAGATGACGAGGAAGAGGAGGAAGAAATGAAAGGCAAAATGTCTCCCTTTGATAAATTAATCATACCTGGTAAGTTTAAAATCTCTCTCCAAGGTCATAGTTAAAGGCATGCCACTTGATATTTCCTTGTACGAGAACAATCTTTTTGATATTAATAGGTTTTGTTTTGTTTTGTTTTGAAGTCAAATAATACACTTAAAATCAAATGTCCAAACTAAAGAATGCGTTGGGGATAAATATCAGGGATATTAAGGTTTTTTGAGAATGTTTATTTCTGCTGCTCCCTCCTGTAACAAAGCAAAACGTAGCCCGTCTGTTGATGCCCTGACTTCTGAGTCCGTTGGCAAGACCCCCAGGGACTGGATCACGGCTGCTCTGACCCGTTTCAGGGGCCAGCGATGCCATCATCTCTTCAGAGGACGTTTCAGAATCCAGCACTGAGACGGGGCAGGTAAAAGGCCTCCGGTTCACTGTTAACTCCACGGCAAGTTTGCTCTATCATATATTTACAGAGATTTCACAATGTACTGTCGGGAGAGAGGCACAGACCACTTATTCCACGAAAAGGGAGTTGCTGAGTAACTAGTGGGCATTTCTTCTGACCTCGCCGTGAACTTCAAAAGTTTTTCCTCTTTCTCTATTTTTTGAATCGCTTAGTATGAGGTGTAATCATAGGAGGAAATTTTTGGCCCAGATGATAAATACAAGCTGTTTTCAACAACTTAGTACAGGTTGTTTCTGGAAGGGGGAGAATCCCCTCCACCCCCTTTCTTTAGTTCTTGCAGCTGGACTAATAATAAAATAACAAAACTGACACAAGACTGGATTAACAGAAGAAGAAACGTCGTACATGTGCATGGGAGAATCACAATAAGATGCTCAGATGATAAAGTGAGAGTCAAAGGAATGATCGAACCAGATTCCTTTTTATACCCTTTAAACAAAGAAACAATGCATTGATGAGAAACTGGCAGAAGAAAGGAGGTCAGTGCACATTAAAAAGGAATCTAGCCCAGCAAGTGTGGCTCAGTGGTTGAGCATTGACTCATGAAGAGGTCACCAGTTCGATTCCCAGTCAGGGCACTTCCCCAGGTTGTGGGCCAAATCTCCAGTGGGGGGCATGCAGGAGGCAGCCAATCGATGTTGTCTCTCATCGATGTTTCTCTCTCTCTCTTCCCTCCCTTCCTCTCTCTAAAAAAAAAAATCAATAAAGAAAAAAAATTTTTTTTAAAAGAATTTAAGCAAGTTTTGCGTACCTCTTAGTCAGGAATCTAAACAAAGTCTGGACTTGACTAGTAAACTGAAAGGCATTGCAAGGCCGATGCATGCACGCTTTCCATTCTGAAGTCCCTGCACTCTGAGATTAGGTGGTCTCTCAGCCCTCAGGAGCAGGGAGGGCACCTGGCACTGGGAGATGATCTCCTGCTGTTCGGGGAACAGAGAGGGCAGGGTTTTCCCCTTGCACAGATGGTTCTTTAAGTACCTTTAATTCAAAACAATCAATATGCCATTGTGGGATATCTTGGGGTTGCCTGCCCTGGGCCCCGACAGTTGTAACTCAGAAGGGCCTGCTCACTTGTGTCAAAGTCCCCCAGAAAGTCAGTTCCTGGCTGTAACCCTCTCCACCTGTTGGTCCAGGCACAGCTCACGATGAAGCCGACGGAGGCACCGGGACCACCAGCGAGCGGCCATCCTCAGGGATGGAGGTTAATGGCAGGAACAGGAAAGGGGTGGGTTGTCTCAAATTTCCCATCCATTTATGTATTTGCCTCAGTCCATTACTCTAAATAACCAGGTCTATCCAGTTCATGAGCGTTTCTCACTTCTGGGCAATATTTATTCATTGCATCCTCACGTTCTCCCTGGGCACAAATAAATAAAACTCAGCTCAACTAACCATTTGCCAGACAGCGGGCACTCCAGATGAGCTCCTGCAATCTCTGCACAATCCTGCAAGGCGGGATTACTCCCGTTTACTCGTTCCAGAAGCGAAAGCCCGGAGACTATCCAGCCCACCTCGCTGGTCAGCAGGAGCGCTGAGACTCACACCAGGTCTCCTCACCCCACTGCCTCCAAAGGACAGAGCGAATGAAAGTCCCCATAAGATAAGGAAATGGAGACAGATAAAATGACGACTGATTCTTACGGTCCATGATCCAGGGTCCATGGACACAGGCCAGACAGGCCCAAGATGGTATCTATTTAGAATGTTTAGTATGTGTTTAGTAAATTACTCTATTTCCAGAAATTATATTTATTTTCTATCTTCCTGAAAGTAATTAGAGCCCTGGCCGGTTTCGCTCAGTGGTTAGAGCATCAGCTCTCGGACCAGAGGCCCGGGTGCAGTCCCGCTAAAGGCACGTACCTCTGTTGCAGTTTGTCCCTGGCCCCAGTTGGGGTTGTGTCGATGTGTTTCTCTTTCTCTCTTCCTCCCTTTCTCCCTCCTGCTCTATCTCAAGATAAATGTGGGAATGTCCTCGGATGAGGATAAAAAAAAGAAAAGAAAAGAAATTAGAGCATTGTTTCACTTGTATCCGCAAGATTTTAATTTCCAGAGGTGACTGAGTGACCACACAAGAGGTTAGTGCCGTTGAGAGGAATGAATTACGTTTCCCCAGAGAAGGGGGCGTGCAGGGCCACACCGGCAAGCACCAGGTTTGGTCTAGAGGCAGAAGCAGGCGGCAGGGGAAAGTCTAGAACACAGCCTTTCGTGGGGTTTCCACGGGAAGAGCAAGGCAGGGCAGAGTTAACAGCTTTTTTCAGAGGACTGGATGGTTTGCGTAATTCCAGTGGTCTCTGGCCTCTAGTCGCCTGGTACCTGGCCCTGGATGATTTCTGGCAGGGGAAATGTTGGCCTGGTGTGTCTTATACAAAGGGGACAGTTGATTTGCATATGAGAGGCTTGCTCCTGGTTAAGCTGTTAACTATGTTTAGAGACTAGCTAGCCCTGGGAGGGACAGCCTCCCGTCCTGTTCCGTAAGGCCCCCTCCAGATGTCAAAACATCGTAAGATACAGAAAACAACATGATTAATACAAGCACCCGTGCTTGATTTGAGTGACCACACGTTTGAATCTATGGTAATCCAGGCCTGAGGGTAAATCATTGCATTTTATCTCCACTGTTAGCATATATATCCAATTTGATTCTTTTCAGAACTCCTAGTTGAGACACGTCTCAAGTTGCGCCTGCCTGATAAATATGGAAACATTTGTTAAATTTTAATTTTCACATGACTCTAGATAGTCAAATACAGTGACCTCTTTGTTTTGTACTATCTTACCAAGCAGAAATCTACTGCTTGCTGTCCACAGTTAGCCAGCACAAGAAAAGGAGATGTTCTGAATAATTCTCTCAAGATACTGCAAAGTCCTGACGTTCTCCCTGAATCCTAAAAGATAGAGGGTTTTATTTTATTTTATTTTTTATTTTTATTTTTTAATCCTCACCCGAGGACATTTTTCCATTTTTTGTTCAGATAGAGTGGGAGGGAGAGAGAGGAAGAGAGAGAGAGAGAAATATCGATGTGAAAGGGACACATCGAGTGGCTGCCACCCGCACGACCAACCAGGGCCGGGGACAAACTGCAACCGAGGTACGTGCCCTTAGCGGGAACCGAACCCAGGTCTCTCTGGACCACAGGCCAACGCTCTAACCGCTGAGCCAAACCGGCCAGGGCAAGATAGAGGATTTTAAAGATATACCATCTAGGGGGAAATATATTTCATCATATTAAAATTGTTTGAAAATTGGAAGCCAAGTATATCACTCATTATTCATAATATTTGATTAACTGGAATCTTCCATCTCCCAATCATTAGAAAAAAGATGCAGTATTTATTATATTTTGAAATTCTTAGATTTTTGACAATTTTTTAAATTTATTGATTTTTTAAAAAGAGAGATAAAGGGATAGAGGGAAAGAGAGAGAAACATTGATTTGTTGTTCCACTTATTTATGCATTCACTGGTTGATCCTTATATGTGCCCTGACTGGGCATCGAACCTGCAGCCTCGGCATATCAGAACGACCTCTCTAGCCAACTGAGCTACCCAGCCAGGTCCCAGAATAACTAAATTTTGACCTAGATAACTGACGTCATGGAGCTTATAGACACTCAATTTCCAGTGAATTTGTTCACATAATTCCTATTTAAGTACCCTAGTAGCATCCTGGGTCCAGTTGTATCCTTTTCAAAATATAGCTACTCAGAAAAATCAAATGATCAAAGATGAGCATCTAAATACATTAAATTGGGTCAGAATAGTGGTGGTATCAGACTGTGGCTATGCTCTGTCCTCAACCTTTGTTTTCACTGTTCACGCACAAAGCCAACAGTGTTCACAGGTGTTCCATGTGCCCCAGGGCACACCCTGCTCAGGGCTCTGCACGGAACACCTACTTGTCTTGCTTATTCAAGAAAGCATATTAGAATGCAATGAAGTGAGAGTGGCATTATTATGTGGCAAACCAATACAATTTCTGGATAAAAATTAAAGCAGTCCCAAGCTTCGCAGGCAATTTGCAATGTCCATGATGGCTGATCAGTATATTCCGGTCTTGTCGAGGACATCTGAGAGTAGCATCTCGCCTAGAAAGTTAATTTCACTGACCTGCACTTTAATCACTCATTCATTCACTCCACAAATATCCATTGAACTTATACTAGAAACTGGAGAAACAGCTGCTTTCATGGTTTTCAAGAAAATCACAGGTGGGTGAAATGTCACTGTCAACACAACCTGGGGGTCAAAACTTAGATAAGCGCTGACCATGTAGTGTTGGACATAGATGTTTCTTAGCCAGCGGCATGAAGTAAGGCAAGTGCTGGATCCGTGGAAAAGTAAATTCTCAAGGGGAGTCACCGTTTATATTAATTTGGCGAATCAGCTATTAAAGCACTTCGCTCGTAGCCACCGGTCTCTGGGGATTGACTGAGAAGCTGAGGATGGATGCCTCAGGGTTATTAGAGATTTGCCGTTTACAATTTCTGCTGCTTTTATTAAAATAAAGGAAGGAAGGGAGGGGAGAGGGAAGGAAGGAAGGGCTGGAAGGAGGAAGGGAAAGAAAAATAATAGATCCTTCAAGTACCAACTGGTTGGGCCTCAGCGGGCAGTCTCTAAAAATGCCTGATTTGTGTGTATTTAACCTCCCGTTTCTCAGGCCATTGACAGCACGTGAGGTCTCAGCTGCCACCCAGGCAGTTTTCCTGTCCACCAGCACCTGCTAGTTACATAACCTGCTCTGTCACTTAGCTAACTCAGGAGCCCCTCCGTCTCCCCAGAATTTGTCTGTGCACTGGACGCCTCGGACGAGTTCCTGAAATTCCGGGTGATGAATCTCCCCGAGAGCGTTGTGGCAGGCACCCACTACAGCCAGGACCAGTTCCTCCGGGCTTTGAGCAACTACCGGGACATCAATACCGAAGATGAGACGGTCTTCAACTACTTCGATGAACTTGAAATCCACCCAATACACATTGGTATGAAATGACCCCGAGGATAATGTGAATGTGGAAAGCCACTGCCAGTGTCTGGACCAGCCCCAGCCAACCCCAGAGCAAGACCAGGTCGGGCCGGGCAGGGGAGGACGGAAGTATCACAAGGTCACAGGATCAACAGGCACTTCTCCTGGGGAGTCCTACTGGAGGCTTTGGTGGTGGCGTGTTGTTATATGAAAACACATGGATATATTATGAAGCGGGATACCAAATTTGTAAAGGGCATTTCAAAGAAATGTGTTTGCTGCTGGCTGCTCTGGGCCATTTCCCCAGCTTTCTTGGGGACTACGAGCCATCACTGTTAACATTGGGGGGCACTAGTGCTCTTCACAGAGCCCCTCCTGGCCTTTGGACCGGCCAGCTGACCCCCATAGCTACTCAGAAAAGCAAATAGCCCTTTGTTGCATTTTCCCATGTTCCCCTAAACACTTTCCTCGGAACTTAGCCCACAATAAGCACCCAGGGTGTGATCTCTCATCATCCTCACCATCATCATGGTTCCTGGCTCCAAACCTCAGCTCTCATGGCTGTTTCAACTCCACTTGGCTTGGTGAACCTCTAAACTTCCTTTCTGCTTTTCTGAGCACACACTTGTCCTCCTTTAGTGAGAAAGCCCCAGCTTGGTGGGAGCTTAGTGGCTGGGCCAACCCCTTGAGCCTCCCGAGGCCTCTCTTCACCCCCAAGAGCCAGATGGGCCAGCATTTGGACCCTGGAGTATTGGGAGCCTTAGAGCTAATGTCAGGAGAACTGATTCCAGTTCTGGCTCATTTTTCTCATCTGTGAAACAATAGAGTAATCCCTGGCTTGTAGAGTTTTTCCAAACGGTAAAGATAAGAGATAGGAAGTATCTGGCACTTTGAAGGAGTTCAAATTTTGTTTTTACTACCAATATGAAGCCATAAAATGACCTACTAAGAAAAAGATAACACTTCTTATAAATCTGCACTGTTGGAAGTGACTGGGTTTTGCCTTTGTCAGACTGTCTGTGGATATTGGATATATTTTATTTTTATAATTTCTATTTATTGATTTTAGAGTGAGAGGAAGGGAGAGGGAGAGAGATAGAGAAATCGATTGGCCACCTCCTGCGTTCCCCCCATTGGGGATTGGGCCTACAACCTGGGCATGTGTCTTGACCAGGAATCGAACCTGCGACCTCTTGGTGCATGGGTCGACACTCAATCACTGAGCCACACTGGCCGGGCTATTGGATATATTTTACATATTCTATATGTAAAGCTAAGGATCTGACACCTACTAGTAGAAAAAGTCCTTTACCCTATTTAATTAGAGAACTAAGAAAAAATGGTGAGCAAATGTCACAAAAATAGTAATTGTCATCTTTTCAGTAAAACCCCAGAAATTATTTCTGGAAAGATCAGGAGAGCCCTAGGGAGAAATGTTGAGAGACACAGAAATGACGAGAGGAATGAATGACCACTGTGTTCCTGTCTCGTTCTATGCCCAACACATTTGGCCTCATTTCCATGCTGATAACTGGGAGATAAAAGTAAAGGGGAGAAATGTGTCCTAAGGATGGACATAGGGAGGATGTCAAGGTCAGGGGTGCAGCCTGGCCTCAGAAGGGTCCGGAATGGCCTGGAAAGATGCTGGCACCCACATTCTTTCTGCATCTCTGAACTCCTCTTTTCTGTCCTGTCCTTCACTCTCTCGCTCTTTGGGCCAGAATCTCTGTCTCCTCTCTGGCTCACGCGGTGGGGCAGCCCTACAGCCCAGGGTTTCCATGTTACACTGAAGCCACGCCTGGAGCTGGACGTGACTTTCCGTCCTAACTCCACTTTCCAAGAGTCAGAGACCACGTGGTGCCCATTTGGTCCTGTGCCCATCCCCGCCCAATCCACAGTCCTCACCCCCACCCGGGGTCAGCACAGAAGTATTGCCTGGGGCAGCACTGCCCTCTGTGAGCCCTTCCTCCAAAAGTGAACCTTCTCAAAGATGCTTCAGAGCTCTTTCAAACACACCAAGGTTGTGACTACTGTACAAGAGGAATCAGGAAAACGCACTTACAGGCTAGGATTCAGGCACCCACGGACAGACGTGTTTTGTTTTTGTTTCTGCCTCTTTTTTTTGGCTTGCTTCTACCCACTGATACATTGTCCCTGTTCTTTCCCTCTTCCCAGGGCAGAAGCTGGCGTGCCTCTAGTCTAGGTCAAGGTTATGTTGTGTACACATGGGGTGGGGAGGAGAGCATCCGTGGCTGTACGTGGGTGTGGGGTGAGGGAGAACGGTCTGGAGGTGCCGAGTAGCAAAAGGCATCCAAGGAACACCCTTGTATGCAGACGGAAACCTTCCGAGGAAACCCAAAAGAGAGGCGCAGAGTTGACTATTTAGTGACTGTGGGGGAACTCATTGTTACCCACAAGTCTTTCTTTTCTTGGTCCTGATATTAACATTACTCAGAGAGTCTGTAGTTTGGACTTTGTCCTTCTCAAGTAGGCTAACTGAAATGGTTCATTTTTTTTTTTAAATCATCCTCACCTGAGGACATTTTTCCATTTTTTGTTCAGGTAGAGTGGGAGGGAGAGAGAGGAACAGAGAGAGAGAGAGACATCGATGTGAAGGGACACATCGAGTGGTTGCCACCCGCACAACCAACCAGGGCCGGGGACAAACTGCAACCGAGGTACGTGCCCTTAGTGGTAACTGAACCCGGGTCTCTCTGGACCGCAGGCTGACGCTCTAACCGCTGAGCCAAACCGGGCAGGGCAAAATGGTTCATTTTTAAAATAAATTAAAACATGTCCAAAATAATTGATTCTCAGAAACAGAAAACAAAAGAAACCTGGAGGTTACCCAGTCTGGCCTCCAAAGGATGTAGGACTTCCTTCTGTGAAAACCTCCACATGCAGTTTTCCAGTCTTTGCTTGAATGTTTCCAGGGATGGAGAGCTCACTCCTTTGAGGAAGTCCATTCAACCCCAACCCCACCCTATCCATCCACTTAAATTAATTAACAGTGACTGTCAGAACTCAAAGACTGGAGCCCAGTCTTCCTCCCTGCATTTTCCCAACACTAGTCTGATGTTACAGTTAGACAAGAAATTCTGAACTATGCAACTAGAGAAGGAAACCCCAGAGTGGTAATTCACATAACTTAACCATCACAAGTTGATAGTGATGAAGAATTTTCCCAAATATGGGCTCAGAATACATTGCAGGCAGGCCCAGAATGTAAGTATGTGTTCATCACCTTCCTCTCTCCTTGTATTTAAAGACATAGGAAAACTTGAAGACACTCAGAACAGACTCGCTATCAAACAGCTTATCAAAGAGATTGGGGAGCCTCGCAATTATGGTTTAACGGAAGAGGAGAAGGCGGAAGAGGAGCGGAGGGTTGCCGAGGAACGCATGGCCAGGGAGGCCATCGAGGAAGCGAACCGGGAGCACAGGGAAGCCACGGAGACAGCAGAGAAGATTGCTCGCTGGGAGGAGTGGGTGAGTGTGTGTGTGCGCAGGCGTGTGTGTATGTGTGCAGGCTTGTGTTTGTGTGCATGTGCGTGCACCTGTGTAGGGTCCCTGCAAAGCCTTTGAGGCCAGTTGTACTTCCAATCCTGCTAACAGAGAAATGGCACAGAAATACTCCAGGTAAGTTCTGTTTGTTAGTTTATTTAGTCCTATGTACCATTTCAGAAACAATGCCCATAATCTTTTGCTTAGTATAGATCATAACAATAGTAACTAGCTGTAACCAGTAGCATTAATAATATGTATCCCTGTACATGTGTCAAATTTCATTTGATTTTCCTCCATTTACCCATCTTGCCTGGGTGGTCAGCCTCGTTCCACCCTGCTCATTCCCAGGTTGCACTGAGTCTTACCTAGTCCGCTTCCTGCAGCAGTGCTCAGAGCCTCGTGGCTCTCCACTCCACAGGGTCAGTGCTTCTCACCTGAGTACCGGGCTCTGCCTTCCCGCTGCCGTCCCAACCCCACCCCATCCCTCCAGTCTCTTCCCATGCAGCCTTCTTTCTTTTTCTTATCCTCACCGGAGAATATTTTTCCTTTTTTCTTGATCAGTTAGGGTAGGAGGAAGAGAGAGAGAGAAACATCGATGTGAAGGGACACATCGAGTGGCTGCCACCCACACAACCCAACCAGGGCCGGGGACAAACTGCAACCGAGGTACGTGCCCTTAGCGGGAACCGAACCCAGGTCTCTCTCTGGACCGCAGGCCGACGCTCTAACCGCTGAGCCAAACCGGCCAGGGCATCATGCAGCCTTCTAAAAGAGTTGTTCCATGGCCATTCTTTGCTTCAAGTCTTCCCAGGCTGACCATCGCATTACATAAAAGTCCAAAAACTCCTTTAAAATTTATTTATTTATTTTGAGAGAAAGGGAGAGAAAATCATCGATTTGTTGTTCCACTTGTCCATGCATGTATTGGTTGACTCCTGCATGTGCCCTGACTGAGGATTGAACCCGAAACCCTGGCATTATTGGGGTGATGCTCCAACCGAGCTACAGGGCCAGGGAAAGTCCAAACTCCTTATGGGGCCCCCAAGGCCCTTGGTGACTGCCCAGTGCATTGAAACCTGCGCCACCCGCGTGACTAGTTGCCTCACATTTTTTGTCTTTACTAGAAGTCATCTTTCCAATGAGACCTTTCCTGGACATCAGCCATATTTAAATGTTCAACACCTGCCCTGGCTGTGTAGCTCAGTTGGTTAGAGTGTCATCATGATACACCAAGATTGCAGGTTCAATCCCTGGTCGGGCCACATACAAAAATCAACCAGTGAATGCCCTGGCTGGTTTGGCTCAGCGGTTGGAGCGTCGGCCTGTGGACCAGAGAGTCCTGGGTTTGGTTCCCACTAGGGGCATGTACCAAAGGAAAAAAAAAATCAACCAGTGAAGGCATAAATAAGTGGAACAACAAAATCGATGTTTCTCTCTCTCTCTCTCTCTCCCCCCAGCTTCCTCTCTCAAATCAATCAATAAAATAAAGTTTCAACCCCTGCCCCTCTCCAAAACATGTCATATCCCCTTTTATAATTTTTAATTTCTCTCTTTGCACTTATTCTTTCTATTGTACAGAAGGAAGGAAGGGTGGGAAAGAAGGAAGGAAGGAAGAGAGGGAGGGTTGGAGGATGTCCTCATGCTCATAGCCGTGTGCCCAATTGTCTCCTTAGCATATATTTCTAAGTTTGCTAGGTCAGGCTATGCATATGTGGTTTCATTTCTGATACACATTTCTGAGCTACCCTCCGGCAAGGGTAAACAAGTTCATGCACTGTTTACGGTGTGTTTCCCTCCAACCCTGCTTTCTCAATTTTGCACACACAGGCCACTCTGATAAACAACAACCGATCTCATTGTTTTAGTTTTCATGCCTCAGATCACAAATTTAACAACTTTCCCTACGTCAGTTCGGGATTTACATTTCTTCTTATGTCCCCACGTTCCCTCTGCCCATGCTTGAGCCGTGTGTGTGTGCGTTTTTATTATTATTTTGCAAGAACAACTCCTGATAAGGAAGGCCGAGAAAAACAGGAATGGCCCCAGGGGATGACGTCCTCCCAAGTTGTCCAAATCCGGCTCCACGCTCTTTGTAGGTCCGTTGCCTTGTACGTGTTACTCTCTGTCCCAGTTACTCTGTGTTCCAGGATAAAATGAGGATGGTTATAGCATCTACTTCAAAGAGTCACAGTGGTGATTAAAGAGTTAATATTGTAAAATCATGCCGACAGTACCTAGCAAATAGTGTGCACTCCCATCATATCTTAGCTTTTTATAATACGTTGTAAATAGTTTTTCGTAGCTCATTTATCCTTTAACATCATTTATGGTGTTTCTTCTGGTCATAAAAATACTTGTGTTTAGATGTAGTCAAATCCATCAGTCTTTTCCCATTTTGATTTATGGGTTTGCTGTTTTGCTGGGAAAGACCTCTTTATTATTATTTTTTTTCCTCACCTGAGGACATTTTTCCATTTTTTGTTCAGATAGAGTGGGAGGGAGAGAGAGAGAGAAACATCGACGTGAAAGGGACACATCGAGTGGTTGCCTCCTGCACGACCCAACCAGGGCCGGGGACAAACTGCAACTGAGGTACATGCCCTTAGCAGGAACCAAAGCCTGGTCTCTCTGGCTCGCAGGCCAACACCCTAACCACTGAGCCAAACCAGCCAGGGTGGAAAGACTTATTTAAAAAAAAAAAAAATCAGTTAGGACTCTTTATCTTGCAAATGACAGAAAAGTAAAGTTAAAATGGCTTAGAAGTAAAGAAAACTGATGGAGTCTGGCTGCTGTGGCTCAGTGGTTGAGCATCCTCCCAGGCACCAGGAGGTCGCTGGTTCGATTCCCAGTCAGGACACATGCCCAGGTTGTGGGCCCGATCCCCAGTGGGGGGCATGCAGGAGGCGGCCAGTCCATGTTCTCTCTCATCGATGTTTCTCCCTCTTTCCCTCTCCCTTCCTCTCTCTCTCAAATCAATAAAGAAAAAAAATTTTTTTTTTAAAGAAAATAATGGAGTCACAAAACAGACAAGTCCAGAGGTAGGACTGTCTTCAGGCAAGGCTTGATACAGTGATTCAGATGACATCACGAAAGACCTGGGGTCCCTTCCTCTGCTCCATCTTCTTTGTCAGCGTTGTCCTGGGCCTCTCCCTGATGCGTCCATGGACAGGAGGTGGGCTGGACTGATGTGCTGAAGTCCCACCTCAACCACTAGCCTGAGAAGGAAGATTTCTTAAAGGAAATATGGAATTACTCTTCCCAAGGGAGTGTGGCTGTGTGCTGAGGAAGGAATAACAAATGTCCACCACCACAGCAATACCTTCCAGACCTCCTAGCACTTCTATGAACCTTTCTTCTCTCTCTTCTCCCCTTTCTTCCTCCCTTCCCTCCTTCCCTCCTTCCCTCCTTCCCTCCTTCCTTCCTTCCTTCCTTCCTTCCTTCCTTCCTTCCTTCCTTCCTTCCTTCCTTCCTCCCTTCCTCCCTTCCTCCCTTCCCTCCCTTCCCTCCTTCCCTCCCTCCTTCCTCCCTTCCTCCCTTCCCTCCTTCCCTCCTTCTTTCCTTCCTTATCTAGACAGCTAGAAATTATTTGTTTAAGAAGTGAGGTAGGGGTCCAGTTTATTGTTTTATTTTTTTAATATGCTTTTATTGATTGTTTTTTAGAGAGAGAGGAAGGGAGAGAGACAAACATCGATGTGAGAGAGAAACCTCCATTAGCTGCCTCCTGCACGCCCCCTACTGGGGGTCGAGCTGGCAACCCAGGCATGTGCCCTGACCAGGAATCAAACTGGGACCTCCCAGTCCTTGAGACAACACTCAATCCACTGAGCCACACAGCCTAGTGAGTTTATTATTTTCTTTCTTTTTTTTTTTTTATCCTCACCTGAGGACATTTTTCCATTTTTTGTTCAGGTAGAGAGGGAGGGAGAGAGAGGAACAGAAAGAGAGAGAGAAACATCGACGTGAAAGGGACACAAGTGGCTGCCGCCCGCACGACCAACCGGGGCCAGGGGCAAACTGCAACCGAGGTACATGCTCTTAGCGGGAACCGAACCCGGGTCTCTCAGGACCACAGGCCGACGCTCTAACCGCTGAGCCAAACCGGCCAGGGCAAGTTTATTATTTTCTAAATGACTAACCCATTGTCAACACCATTTATATCTATTTTCTGCTGGTTGGAAATGCCATCTTTACAGTAACATGGTGAATATTTATAGCATTACTCTAATGCATTGTGGGGTGCGTTGTACGAAAGTGTTCTCCCTTTTCTGACTATGTACCCCACTCCTAAATGTTCTGTTTGTAGAATAAACGACTAGAGGAAGTGAAAAGAGAAGAAACAGAATTCCTAGAGGCACAGTCTGCTCCCCTGAGGAACTATTTAATGACCTATGTGATGCCAACGCTCATGCAGGGTCTGAACGAGTGTTGTAGGGTCAGGCCAGAGGATCCTGTTGATTTTCTGGTAAGGTATTTAGGTTTTTTTGTTTTTTTAAAAAATATCAGTTTGAAAATAAAATATACCTGAATCTAAATGGGAAGTTAGTTGGCATAGAGAAATTGTGTGCCTGGTATTTGGGAAATAGCCTCTAATACCTTCACAGTCTATAATAAGAGTTTTACATTTTTTATTGAATTTATTGGGGTAACATTGGCTAGTAAAATTATATAAGTTTCAGGTGTACAATTCTATCGTACATCATCTGTATACTGTATTGTGTGTTCGCCCCCTCCCCCCCCAAGTCAAGTCTCCTTCCATCACCATTTATCGCCCATTTACCCTCTCCGACCTCCCCCACCCCTTTCTCTCTGGTAATCACCACACTGTTGTCTGTCTATGAGGTTTTTCTTAATCCCTTCACCTTTTTCACCCAGTCCCCCAAACCCCCTCCCTTTTAACAGCCATCAGTCTGTTTTCTGCTTCTATGAGTCTGTTTCTATTTTGTTTATATTGTTCATTAGATTTCACATATAGGTGAAATAATATGGTGTTTTTCTCTAAGTGACTGGCTTATTTCACTTAGCTATAGTAAGATTTTTATTACTCATTTGAAAGTAAAAGATTTATATACTTTTATTTTTAAATTGTAAACATTAATAGTACAAACATATGACTCATAAATACTTTGTAATATCTGCTGATTAATGACTTGCCTTTTTCCTTTGCTTCACTTACAGGCAGAGTATCTCTTCAAGAACAACCCTGCAACACAGTGAAGCTGGAAAGGCCTCGTGCCCTAACCCTTTACAGAGCTAGAGATGACTTTGACATTTGATTTGAAAAACTGCTTTGAAATATGTTTTCCCGGTTTTTGGAAAGTTCTTTTTTCCCCCTGCAAGCAAATATTTCATTAAATCGTTATAAAAAGCTACATGGCAATGAGTGACTACTTCATTAAACCTGTATTTGAGCCCTGGCCAGTTTGGCTCAGCAGTTAGAGTGTCCGCCCGAAGACTGAAGAGTCTCGGGTTCGATTCCCAGTCAAGGGCATGTACCTGGGTTGCAGGTTTGATCCCCAGCCCTGGTTGGGGTCATGCAGGAGGCAACCAATTAATGTTTCCCTCTCACATCAATGTTTCTTTCTCGTCTCCTTTCCTTCCTTTCCCTCTGTCAAAAAAAAAAAAAAAAAAAAATCAGTGGAAAAATACCCTCCAGTGAGGATTAACGAACAGAACAAGGTAAGTTGAAAGGTAAATTTGATAAGGTATCTGTGACGGAGCTCATGGGACAAACATTGATTTAATATTTCATTCTTAGTCCAAGTAGTCTACACACTAATGTTTCTGGTAATTTATAGTATAGGGAAAAGTAAGACTATATATTATTTGAACATGTAGGTTAATAAATTTACACAATTTGTTATGGCCCAAATACCAGTGGTGTTAGAAACAGAAACAAATTATAGGATGGTTGATGCTTTGCTGAGTCACAGGAAGTCAGATGTGATTGGTTTCCATAAGGTTGGTTTTTGAGTTCAGGGTCAGTGCCCTGACCCATGAGTCAGAGAGCATTAGAAACTTCTTGGTAGAAAAATTCACGTAAGAGAATGAATAATGCTAGTATTTGTGATAACCAGAAAGCTGCCCAATATTTGAAACTGACTGTACAGTACAGGCAACAGCAATCAATCCCTGTGGTCTCTTCCAGCTCTAAAGTCCTATAATCCCCAGAATTACACTGAACAAAAAATGTGTTTAGGTTTATTTTAATGGTATATCTATTTCATCCCTTTAGATAGTAATCTGAATACAACTGTGCTATTGTTTTTTATTTTGGTAAAATACACACCACATAAAATTTATCGTTATAGCTATGTTAAAGTGTGCAATTCAGTGGCACTAAGTACACTCAGTGCTGTCCACTCACCACCACCATCTAGCTCCAGAACTTTCATCACCCCAAATGGAAATCGTGTACCCATTAAGCAGCCATTCCCCATTATCCTCTCCCCCCAGCTCCTTGCGACCATTAATCTGCTGGCTGTCTCTATGGATTTCTCTATTCTGGATATTTTATATAAACAGAATCATACAATATGTGGCCTTTTGTGTCTGGCTTCTTTTACTTAGCATGTTTTCAAGGTTCATCTATGTCACTGAATGTATCTGCTTCTATTCCTTTTTACAGCCGAATAATATTCCATTGTGTGGATAGACCACATTTGGTTTAATAATTCATTTGTTGATGGCCATTTGGGTTGTATCCACTTTTTTGTTGTTGTTCAGATAGAGTGGGGAGGGAGAGAGAGAGAGAGAGAAATATCAACGCGAAAGGGACACATCGAGTGGCTACCACCCGTACAACCCAACCAGGGCCGGGGACAAACAGCAACCAAGGTACGTGGCCTTAGCGGGAACCGAACCCGGGTCTCTCTGGACCGCAGGCCGATGCTCTACCGCTGAGCCTGTATCCACTTTTAAATGTTGTGAATTCAGCCCTGGCTGTTTTGGCTCAGCAGTTGGAGTGTCGGTCCATGGACCGAAGAGTTGTGGGTTCAGTTTCCGGTCCCCAGTTAGGGTGACGCAGGAGGCAACCAACTGATGTGTCTCTCTCATATCGATGTTTCTCCCTCCCTCCATCCCTCCCTCCCTTCTACTCTATCTAAAAAAAAAAAAAAAAGTGGAAATATATCCTTGGGTGAGGATTAAAATTAAATAAAGATAAATAAATAGATAAGTAAATATTGTGAACACAGCTGCTATGAACGTTTGTGTACAAGTTCTTATTTGAACACCCGTTGGCAATTCTTTTGGGTAGATACCTCGGAGTAGAATCACTATCATGGTAATTCCACATTTAACTAACTGAGGAACTGTCAAATTGTTTTCCACAGTGGCTGCATCATTTTGCATTCCCAGCAGCAATATATGAGGATTCTAATTTTTCTGCATCTTTACCAACACTTATTTTGTGTGTGTGTATTCAATGGTACTGAAGTGTGCATCACATTGTGACTAAGCATCTGTGCATGTGCTTGCTGGCCACTTCTATGTCTTCTTTGGAGAAATGTATATTCTAGTCCTTTGCTCACTTTTTAATTAAGTTGTTCTTTTGTTATTGAGTTATATGAGTTCTTTATATATTCTGGGTATAAGACCCTTATCAGATAAATGATGTGCAAATACTTCCTCCCATTTTGTGGCTTGTCTTTTCACTTTTTTTAAAAGTAGGTTTTTTTTTACTATTATTAAATTTTTTTTTTTTTTTTAGAGAGAAAGGGAAGGGAGGGAGAGAGAGAGAGAGAGAGAGAGAGAGAGAGAGAGAGAGAGAGAGAGAGATGGACTGCTTCCTGCATGCCCCCCACTGGGGACTGAGCTGGAAACCCCAGCATGTATCCTCACTGGAAATCAAACTGTTGAGCTCTCTATGAATGGGATGAAGCTCAACCAACTAAGCCACACTGGCTTATTTTATTTTATTAAATTTTTTTTTTCTTTATTGATTTTAGAGATGGAGGGAGAGGGAGAGAGGGATGAAAACATCAATGAGAGAGAACATGGATTGGCTGTCTCCTGCATGCCACCCACTGAGGATTTGGCCCACAACCTGGGCATGTGCCCTGACCAGGAATCAAACTGGTGACCTCTTGGTGCATGGGTCAATGCTCAACCACTGAGCCACACCAGCCAGGTGACCCTTATATTTTAATTAAAAAGCTAAATAAATAAAAAGAACACATTTTCAGCAGACTGAAGTCATTAGTCTTTATAACAGTTACCTTTTCATGCCTTCATGGTGGTTATATTTCATGATGTTGCTTCTTATTTCACTGAGAAAATCCAAGCAATCAAAAGATAGCCTGCCACTCTGGTCTGTTTGGCACAGTGGTTAGAGTGTCAGCCCAAGGACCAAAGGGTCACGGGTTCGATTTCGGTCAAGGGCACATACCTGGGTTGCAGGTTTGATCCTTGACCCCAGTTGGGGTTGTGCGGGAGGCGACCAATCAATGTTTCTCTCTCCCTCTCTCTCTCCTTCCGACTCCCTCCTTCCCTCCTTCCCTTCCTTCCACTCTCTCTAAAAATCAATGGAAAAACATCCTCGGGTGAGGATTAAAGGAGAGAGAGAGAGAGAGAGAGAGAGAGAGAGAGAGAGACTCTGCCCGCTTCTCACCCCTCCAATCTACTGCCCTGGCCCAAGACACCACCTTTTCCTACCTGGATTGCTTGCCTGCTCCTTTTTGTAACTGTTCTCAGTATATCCACAGGGGAACCTTGTTGATACGGAAGTCATATCTGCTCAAAGCCCTCCGGAGGAATGGCTCCCCATTCACGTGGAGTGAAAGGCCAAGTCCTGACCTGGGTCTGATCCCTCAAGACCTCACTGTCCCTCTCTCTGCAATATAGTGCCAAGTAGAGTCTCTTTTGGGGTCTTTGCCTTAATACTGGCCTACACATATCCATGTGCTCAGTCTGGATTTCTCCAAGCTCAGCTCAAATACCACCTCCTCAGAGAGGCCTCCCCAGATCACCCTGACATCCCACTGTTCCCTTTCTCTGCTCACACTTGACATCATTTTATATTCCTATGTGTTTATTGTCTATCTCCCCCACCAAAATGTAAGCTCCATGAAGGCAGGGATTTTGTTTTGCTTTTTTGTATCTTTAGAGACTAAAAAAGTACATAGCATATGGTAGAGGTATAACAAATATATGCTATTTAGCTGAAATTCTGTCACACAGCTGTGTGTGTGTGTTTAAATAACTAATTCCAACCTCCATTCAGTGAAGCCCATAACTTATTTACATTTTCATATAACTGTGATGGGACACTTACGTAACTGAGGGTCACCGAGAGGCTTCCCTAAGTGGCATTAATTTTGGCAGATTCACTATGGAGTCTAGCCTTCAGCCATGCAAGTTAAGAAGCATGGTCTTGCCTTGGCCAGTTTTGCTCAGTGGTTAGAGTGTTGCCCCACAGACGAATGGGTCTTAGGTTTGATTCCGGTTAAGGGCACATATCTTGGTTGCTGTTTGTCCCCGGCGTTGGTTGGGGTCATGCGGGTGGCAACCAGTCAATGTGTCTCTCTCACGTCGATGTTTCTTTCTCTCTTTCTTTCTTTCTCCTCCTCCCACTCTATCTGAAGATATTTGAAAAAATATCCTCGGGTGAGGATTAAAAAAAAAAAAGCAGCAGCTGGGTCTCAGCCACATTTTAGGACAGGACTCTAAGATGCTGACATGTCTTAACTACTCTCCTAAGTGACCAGGAGAGAAGACATGATTATTTACATTACTGTTGGGTGGGCTGATACTTGCACCCATTTCACCAGTACATTCCCTTCCTGGAAGCAGTTTCAATGAGAAGCCAAATGATCAGAAGGGCTTGGTGAATGCAAAACCAGGACAAGGCATTAGTCTCCGCTAGCTTGATCTATATCCATCACGCCACAACTGTCCGGTGTTCCGGTCCTTCCTGACAAGGTGCATGTTCCCAGACATTGTTTGGATAGGCAGTGACAATTTCTACCTCTGTGACTCTCCTTGATACCTTCTGTCTTCAGATGTATTAACATATTCACTCTTTCAGGTCTTTGTAGGTTGAGGCATTTACTCTCTTTAGGGCGACTTTTCATATTTCTAGTTTGATCCATTAATTGTCATTTTATTTATTTGTTTGTTTATTTTTGTTAATCCTCACCCAAGGATATTTTCCATTGATTTTTTTAGATAGAGTGGAAAGGAGGGAGGGAGGGAGAGAGAAGCATTGATGTGAGAGA